CGATTTCTTTCTTTTCTTCTCTTTCCTTTTTTCTTCCTCCTGTAAACTCCCTTTCCATGAAGTTTTAAAACCTGCGTGAACATCAGCCTCTTCTCTCTATCGTCCTGCCTCCAATTACAAGCTTCTTAGAAAGGATAGTTAGCTACGGCTGCGTTCTTGGAGATGCGAAGTAAAGGAAGAGAATCCTTTCCGGTGTGACCATTTTGTACAGTGTCTTGGCCATTCGTCAGAGGGCACGTGGACCGTACCTTGGCCTACAGGGGCAGTGCTGCCCTTTTAAAAACATCGGCTTACTAGTGGATCGCTTACTTTTGGTGTAAGCTCGGAGAACAGCCGATATTTTTGGCAGGAGATTGTCCTAGTCGTGGATGATGAGTCGTTCACTCCCCTTTATAATTATTACTTTTCCTTTTATAGATTTTATAGTCCACATCACTTCCTAGGAACTTGAATCAACAGCTTTTGAATACTTATTCCAATTGTCGGAAGGGATTGGAATAAGCTTATCATACTTTATATTACGTAAAATTGAACGGAATTGGTGCAATGGCAAGTGGCGCGCTAACACAGGCACATGGTTCGAGGGTTGAATCCCGGATGGGTCTCGGCCTGAGCTAGTCGAGTATTCCATTCTTTCAGGGCCATTTGTGCCAGACTCGTGTGAGAGGATTAAAGTACTGAGTTATGAATCGATTTGCCACCGTATGTCATTATATGGGTCGAATACGCATTCGATACGCCACTTAGACTCCGAATGGTAGATAAGTGCGGGGCGCATACCATAAACTTGATTGATTAATCTCAAAAACTCACCCTATAGTCTTCTAAAACTCAAATGTGAAATGGCCATATTATAGCCGTAATTATAACCGCAAGAGATATATGGACAAATGCACAACGTTCTTTGACTTTGATCGATCCCATTCTGGGATGCGCCAGGCCTTCAGTTTCCTTTTATGGGCGTAATGGCGTTTGAATGCACATTCCATCTATACAAAACTTGTTAGGGCTGTTTAATGCGTAACTTAAAGCCATCTTCTTCCAGAAAGACCCAATAGCAGTCAGTCGCCCTTTTCAGTATCCTGGGCTTGATTGACCTAGGTGGCCATCGAGTAAGGTGGAAAGGCTTAGCATTGCCCTTTATCACCTCTGCGGGAAGTTCACCTGCACTTCATCGAAACTGCCATTACATTTTATTTTAGGGGTCATTATAAAAGCTATTATTTCTTTAGCTGATAATTAATGATAGAGTATGGAGTAAGTGTGAAGAGGCAAGGNNGGTCTGGAGCATACGAGGACATGGGAGGGGATAGAGCATCGTGTCAGGACAGGCATCGTATTTATTCGAGTTTTTAGGTCTTTGCATGGCTATCCTACCATTATGTGACTTAGCTTTCGTTTGTAAGTAATATTTCATTTCAAAGCCAGTGGGTAGTCGTTCCAAAGCCAACTCAAATTACTTTGCCTGCCCGTTTACTTGTCCCTCGCTCCCTTTGTTGAGCTTTCAAATGTTCATTCTCCTACCAATCTTCTAGTGAAAATTCGCTAATGGAACTGCATTGTTTAGGTGCTCAATATTCGATCAATATTAACTAATAGAAACAAATAAAAATTAATAAGTGTTATTTGTTTCGATCTGAAAATAATTTACAGGGGATCTTCACTTGTACATGGCGAATACTAGTTATTTGTCCCGTTTACCCTTAATCAGTTGCCTTGGTAAACGATTCACCTCTCGGTTTGAATCTTCATTCTAACGCTTAATAACGCCCGTCTTTATTTTCCTCTATATTTTTTCGTTTAGTGAGAAAAATCGACTTAAAATACAAATGACGGGGTTAGCAGGCTTTTGTGGATTTCTTCTTTTCCTTTTTCCCGTCTTCTTCCTTTGATAAACTTTTCGGATGTCTTTTTTTTTTTTGGAATGATCTCAGTAGGAATCTTTGTGGGATTGTGTATGTAGGGCACATTCTTCGCGTCCTATCCATCTTTCTGCCTCTGCATTGCATATGAGACTTCTGAAATGGATGGCTTCGGAAACGTGAATGTACGGCATGGCCCTAGTATCGAGATTTCATCTTTCGAGGCGAGCAAGCGCTAGCACCATCTCTGGCCCTGAACTATCTTACCATTGAGTTGTATCTGCCATAACTATTCTATACAACTCACGATTACTCGTATCAGAGCTTCAGGGTAACAGCGATTTTCGGAGGCGGTGGTTGTAGTTGTCTCTAACGATCCGTTGCTTTCCTAACTGCTACCCACAAAGGCAGGGAATACGAGGGATACTCGGGGAATACGTACTTGAATTTATTTATTACTTTTACAACTTTTACAATTTTAATTCGTATAAGATACAGCTGCTAAATCTCGGCAAGCGATATAGCATCGATGATCAGCCGAAAATGCTCTTTCGATTCTTGATGCCAATGTTTTTCTTTCTGCTAGCAGATGTCGGATCATTTCCACATGTTCATGAGGCTTTCTTCAGTCTGAGAATGCTATGCCCATTATTACACCCGTCACAGAACATTCCAGTAAAATCTGCTCATCGTTTTGCTAGTTCCCCCATTCATTCGTGTCTACGTACTTCTCTGTCGAGTTACACCTCTATCCAAGGAGGCACCGGTTTCTAATCCCTCTTCCTCAGATGAGTCTTTAGGTCTCTTTTAATTACTCTAATTTGTGTTTTTACATAATTGGTAATTCGGTTGGAAACCAGACACGGACTGTTAATCGATATTGAGAAAAGGGATCTTGAACGCAGATGGTACAGGTGGTTTTTTACGATAAAGAAGTTGGGAGCCGGGTTTGCTGGGGTCGCCACGCCTGTCCATGGGGCGCACACCTACACCTTTTGGTGCCACTGTCCCTTAAATGCACCCATGGGTTCGGAGGCACTTATCGGAGTTACGACGTACGAAAATACCGGCCAGCCTATGTGTTCTGTCTTACTGGAGGCACTTAATGCTCACCACCCCCTTCTAAGCATGTATTACGAGCATAATTGAACAAATATACAAATAAGTAACCAAGTCAATAAGTAAATAATGAATCGATAATTGATCAAATAAATAGATCTCGAAAGGTCTTAAGTGTTTTCGTCGCCAAACTCTCTGAGTAGCACATTCTAGTGATCAATTGTCACCTTCCCTATAGACTGACCGCCTCAGGATCAGAGCGGTGCACGAGTATAAACGCNTTATAGAGCAGGTGTGAAAGAGTAGCGGAAGGAGACCCCCTACTATTCTGCATAAAAATTGATTGCATGGCTTATCCCAAGTAATTTATGAGCGCCAAGCAATTTGTTATTCCGGAAGAACATTCAAAGAAAAACCAAACCATGTATGATTACTGTCATTTGTTATTCTAACCCATTATTTACCACACAAATGGTATGCTTGAAGGAACATACCTCATTGATTTTGGGCGCCCATCATTTTGCCCAGCAAAAGGGATTTTTATCCAATCGATTCGGTTAGTAGACGTCGGGGTATGTTACTTGTTACGAAAGCGTTTTGAGGGTGGGATTGGACTCCATCACGAAACGTCTGCAATCTATTGAACAGGGAATGGGCCTTCTTAGCCAACTATAATACAAATAAACGATTAGAGTAAACTCTGCTATGACTATGGGAAGAAGGGGTATAGGTCGCTGTTGGAGAGCTATAAGGAACATTCCGTCCGTGTGAAATGACTAGCGCAATGAATTGGCTCATATGAGCGCTTCTGGACAAGCTGAGGTTCAGGAATACCGATAGATCCCACGATAGAGTAATGGATGGAGACGCTCTGAATGCGTATGTGGCCTATTAGTTGATCCTTAAGTGCTTTTATCTTCCCAGACGAGTTTTCTACCAAATGTTCTACCAAATGACCAGCCAGGAGTGGATGAAAAGCTCGATTGGCAATAGGAGGTAACTTCCAGATAGTAGAGGCATCAGACTTCAGCCCCTTACGCTACCACTATCTCGGCCCTTCAATCTAATGGAGATGGAAATTATACCTCGCTGACGGGCTGCAGCCTGGATCGCTTTCACGTCAAGGCTTAGTGCTTAAAACTTCCGAAGTACCTCCCAACAGCCAATATACAATCACCCATGGATTACAGTCGTAGTACGTTCTTTTCTAAAACGTCGCTTGACGTGCCCTAAGAACTTACCAGCCAAATTTATTGTCCTTCTCCTGTCGAAGTGTTCCGTTCCGCGTCACTTTTTACCACATGCAGACATTGCTGGCCGTTTTTCTCAGAGCATTTAACGGCACGGCCATTCGACAGAGTAGCACAATTAGAGAGTCATCGAAGAGTCCGACAAACTCTGCTCTTCCCCATGAGGTGACGGCCGGCTACGCTTGCTCGCTCATCGTCAAGCCGCCGTTCTTATCGGCTTTCCCCTCTGTCTTAACACAGAAGCGCAAAGTCCCCTTCATCGACCACTTAAGTGGCCATTAACTCTGAGATGCTTCGTGTTTTTTGGCTTTTCCGTCGTCTTCATGAAGCTTGTAGGACCGATTCCTCTCTAATACTTGAGCGAATTTGAATTTTTTAATTTTTGATGGGATTCTTTTTTCAGAGTGCTGGACAATGCCGACCAAGACAGCCCTGTGTGCTGCTTCTCTGGAAGAGCATATGCAGAGGATCACCAATTCGAATTTATCAGCTCAAATCACTCCCTCAACCGTCTCCCCTTCAGCGAGTCAGGACGAAACGAAAGGTGAATTCCTGGATTATTCCAGCCATTTCCACGGTTTTTCTCGTCCCGCTAGTATCTTCCAATGTCCTTGACCGTTCCCTTGTCGGACGTCGGACGAACACATATCACGTTAGCTCATTTCAGCAGTCATTTCCATTTCAGAAGTGGTCGGTCCGAGGACAAGTGGCGGTCACGCGATCTCCTCTCCTGCCTCTACGGCTCACGATCGGCCGCCTTCAGAAGTTCCCACCACAACTGAAACGCCAACGAGAAAAACACCACCACCATCAACATCTCCATCCTCTTCCACTCGTCGAACTAGCACTCATGTCGATGAGCCTGCAACGTCTCAGACAATGAATGAACCATCAAGCCGACAACATCCCAAATCTTTGCCATTAGACCAGATGTCGTCCGATTCCCGGCGTTCCAGCTCAACCAAAGTGCGAAAACCTGTGCCTAACGGTAGCGCCGTGCGTGCCACTACCGCTCAGTCTCCAGAAACCCCGGTCACTTCAAAGATTTCACTTCGGACACTCCAGGAAATGGTGAGTTTGCAAGTTTTGCTTTCTGAAAATGTAGATCGTTCTATTTGAATGCACAGTCCACAATACTTCTGAAGCATCTATTTTAAGTGAAATAATGAAGGCCATGATGCAGCATAGTGCAAGGGTGAGAAAAGAGTGCGAACTTCGTTGGATTTAAAAAAATATAGAACTTCAAAAAAGTAGCAAGCAAGGGGTTGTACGAAATGGCCTTTCTGGATATCTCTCATTCGAACGTACTATTCGTCGTGTCCTTTGAATAGCGCAGTAATAACAAGGCCAGCATAACACGGCCACTTTAAGTCTGCGTTGGTCAAGCTGGTTTCGGAGCCCTCACTACGCTCTGTCTAAGCCGTTTTCGGCCCAACAACGTCCCACGTACAATTCTTGGGAGCCACAGATTCATTCTGGCGGAAAATCGCAGGAACCATTTTCATCCCGAGCTGTGCCTTCAACTTTCTGACAGGAACAGCCTTGAGCCACCTCAGGGTATCCAAATCGTCATATTCATGGAAGGAAAGGAGAAGGAGAGTAGTGTTCCAAAAGGTCAGTCGTGTAGCAACAGGGGCAGCCCGTGAAGTGAAGCGAGGCCAATCTTCAGCCCCCTCTCCCCGCCTTCTGACCTGGGAAACCCTTTGTGGTGTTATATGAAAATAGTGGAGCCTGTCAGAATAATTCCAGGTGTAGGTCAAAGTTTTTACACATTACGTAGTAGCATTAGTATAATACTTGATAGCGTTCAATAAAGACTAGTACTAATCGGAGATAATCCGATAATCCCTTGATGGGAGCTTTACTTGTCTCTCCCAAACACTTCAAATACTCTCTCGGATATAGAGCACTAACGGGTGAGAACAGTTCGATGCCATTGTTTTGACGGCTACCCCTGTTGCCTCCCTAAACACCCCGTGTGATTCGAAGACAACAAGGTCCAGTGTTCTTTGCTACGGTAAACTTATCATTGCTATTGACTGTTCCTGAAAAAGAAATAGCAAAAAAGGGAAGAGCATCAACTTTTGTTCGTGTCTTACTCAAAGCTTTTCATACTTCGAACGACCATACTTCTGACTACTCAAAGGAGCAGTTCACGATCATTCTAAGATTCCCGGTTTAAGTTGAAAAGCGGAAATTCCGGTGGAAAATAGTCCACTGGCAAAGAAGGGAGCTAGAAAATCCACAGGCTTTTTCAAGAATAGAAAGAAAAAGAATAGGTCTGAAGGAAATGAAAATAAAGGTTGTACGAGATGACCATGACGGACATGACAGGAAGGGGTATTTGGACGAGATTTCAGCATTTGCAACTGCGTAAAGAGCAGACTGCATTGACCCCGAATTGTCCAAAACTGCCCTCCACCGTTGTCATGGGCGAATTAGTTATTAAAATTTCCAACAGGAATGTCCCTTGTGAACGGTGCAGCCCATACCACTTCGGTAAAATTCGTCCGCTTCGGGTGTGGCATACAGCAGGTACAATCCATCTTTGAGCCCTTATAACTCCGGGTCTATAGACCGTTTTTCGATATTTATTGTGATCTTACTCTCAGCTAACTTTCTCTCGCGAAGGGTCGCAATGCCTCTGCTTTTCTATTTTTTACTCGTCTATGTCTTGATTGACGAATTAGGTTCATTCAGGCGCATTTCGTGCAATGCCATTACTAGGCAGTTCTCGTGCAAAATACCCAAATTCAGCATTTTCTTGCACTCCCTAGAGGATCACCATTTGGGTCTATTTGGTCTTAACCTCGTCTAATGGGCGATTAAAGCAAGTGGTTCATTGTGGGCATTATTTTCTGTTTTCTTCTAGACCTTTCCGACCAATTCATATAGCACGGGTGTCAACAATAACCTTTTGCCGAAGAGTTTTACTCGAGCCGGGGCGTAAATTGGGCGCTCTTCTCTTTGGAGTGGGAAAATCCCCTGGGGAACCAGCGGAACAATCGCGAACGGGCTGTGAAGTTCATACAAGCCAGCTATCCTGTCGTCTTTTATTTTCCTTCCATTCACTTATGATGCGGTACCGACAGGTAGGAAACTTCTCGGCTATTGGGAACTGATACAGTATTCTGTCGTACTGTACCGTTTCTTTGATTACTGTAATCTCATAGCTGTAGAAGAAGCTTTTTCAAGTCCAAAATTTCGAAATGATTACTCTGCTTCCAGGCACTGACAGTTTTTCTACGGGAGAACTGGCAAAATACCAACTATGAGACGATCGACGTCAAACTACTCAGGGATCCCGCATTGGGACTTGGCATTACGGTAGCCGGATATGTACATAGAAAAGGTTCGGCTATGTTCCCAAATTCTCAAGAAAATGACCACTCTCTCGTCTTTCGGGTGGAAATGGCCACACTATCGATGATATTACAATCGTTCACAATCTTTTCTGGGTTTCTAGTGTCACCAAGGAAATTCATGAAAGTAACTTCGACGGAGACCTTTTCCTCGGAAATTTCTCGTACCCTGGAGAACTTGGCCCCGGGAACAACCTTTCCGATAGATTCTGTTGGTCTGGGTGGCTNCACAATTCTAGGGACAGGAACGGAAGAAAAAAATATAAAAAACTAGTCAGCAGTGGAAGCGCGTCACAATCCTAGCAAGCTGTTCCGTTCGTTATCCAATTAGGTAAATGATTCTGAGAGGATCTTCCTCTTTTTGAAGGTGATCGTCTCGAAAACTATCCCATTTCTGGGAAATTCACTCCAATCGGGGTTACATAGAATTGGTGTGAAGGAGATAGTTGTTGAGTTTCCGTTCGTGCGCATTCATTTCTCTCGGTTTCTCGGTCTTCCGTATTTCGAATTACGATTTCCGAAGGGACAGCTTAACCTCTAACATGAACGCCTCCCTAGCTCCCTTTCTTTTTCAAGCGCTCTAATACAAAAACCAAAGTTTCCGTAATGTTTTTTGCACACAATACGATTAGATTCCCAGACTGGCGTGAGGAATGATCTCTGGAGAAGAAGTAGCCACTTCGGGCGTGAGTGTTCCAAAAAGTGCTCGTTCGAGTCTGCAACATCAGGGCCACAATAGTCGGTAGTGATGATACACCCTGGTGGGTCAAAAGGGGAAATGTAAGCAGTGGAAACTATTCAGCACTCAGTAGAAGGGGATGTCTACTGGCTGATGAGATCGGCTTCCGCTCTGAGAAGACCGGAAACCATATGCATCAGGTACGTATCTGGGCCAAGTTTCAATCCTCTACTAAGCGCCTTATCGCTTCCGTCCTTCCGAAGGTGGAGAGTAATGGCTGTTTTCCGGTGGAAGTTAGAGGGTAGGGGTGTCTCTGTACTCACTAGGCACCCGTGGAACATATGTATCTGACGACGTCTAGTGCTTGTGGGCGGTAGTTTGGGTGACGCAAAATGCCATTGCCACATCCCTAGTTGCTTTTCGTTAAGAGGCAAGGTCCTGAGAGTAGTAATTTGATTTTTCGCCGCCCAAGCGCGTTGATGGGGAGTGAACGACGACGACGGCGCGACGACGACGAGAAGCAGCGATGTGCCAACGGACATGACGGGTGGCCAGTCTGGGGCTGCTGCTGCTGCTGCTGCTGCAATGGCGTATAACGGTGATGGCAATGGCCATGACGAGAGACGAGAGAGTAGTCAGTAAGTCAGAGAGTAGAAGTTGAAGAGGTGGTAGAGGAGGTGCACTTCAGAAGAGATCGGCGGCATCTTCGTCAAATCTCTAGTGCCACGATCGGCAGCCGCTCAGTCAGGTTCGATACGCGTCCACGATTTGATACTCGAAGTGAGTTCACCATTACGTTTGTCATTTTTATTACCAGAATCGATCGATAATAATCCAATATCCCATGGGAAAAATAGTTTTATATGGGCGAAGCGATAAAAGTTATAGCGCAGCTCCCATTGTCATACATAGCCACCAATGTCCCCATATTTTTTCGTATAGTTTTTATAGTCCCAGCAATCCATCTGGCCAACAATGAGCCTAAAAAATTACCTCCCCAGAGCATTGAAAATCGCAGGGTTTCCCTGGAGACCTCAGTGTTGCAGCGCAGTTTCTTTTTACTGCCTTTCTGACTAGTTTTTCTTACTGACTGACTATGAGTAGGGTGTCAGCCACGGGCTTATCCATCAAATGACAGATTCCTGAAAGAACATTCTGCATGTGCTCCCTTACACCCTATTCCTGAGTATTGATCGAAGTTACTAACCTTGGAATTACACAGGTACATCAGATTCAGAAAAATAGAAGGGTAGAAGAAATAAAAATTGGTGTAGACAGAAAAAAGCGAAAATCTTATTTATTCTTACTCGAAATCGTGTTAGAATCGACTCAACCCGGTGGCTTTAACACTGTAAAAGGGCTTCTTTCTCCTCCCATTGTTATCTTAGGAAAACTGACATTCGTGTAAAGCTTGCCAGTTCATTCTTTTTTCTTTTCCTTTCCTCATTTCCCTTTTCCTTTTCATTTTTTCTATTTTCTCTTCAAGTTATACCGTCCTCTCTTTTAGTATAATAGAAATGAAAAATGTTTGATCAAGCTATGAATCCTATCAAATCGATCGATCGAGCTGTTGGAAGATATTCCGGGATGCGCCTTACATTTGACTTTCCTCCGTAATCATTTCAGCCTTGAAACGTAAATAGGAACCTTCAAAGGTCAATAAGTGACCAAAAAGCGCAGGCATGGGTTCGAAACTCGTACAAGGTCAAAATTTTGCCCACAATTCGCCAACCTTGTGAGACTTACAATGGCTTCCCCTTGCAGAACACAATCGAAGAAATTTCGCTTTAATATATGGAATGTTTAAGAAATCCTAATGGTTTTCACTGCTATTTTTACCTCCATTAATTACTTCTTACCATCGGAGGAGAGGCCTGCCCTTAGTGCCCATATTTTCTTTACTTACTTCTTATTTTTATAGTATAGCGGCATTTCAATATTCTCAATGACTCAGTAATATGCTCTTTATGTTCTAAGAATCTATAGGGCTTCCATACGAATAAGCTGGAATTCGTTTGAATGGCGTGTAATGCGGATTAATTCATTTTTTCGAATACTTCTAAGAATACTAAATGATACTTATTAATCTCTTTTCCGTCTACGACAACAGCAAAACAGCACTCATACACGTCAATTCATTAGTAATACTTTTTCAGACACTTATTGATTTGCTCACATCGCTAGGTTTTTCGTCGTCAGGCGTTAGTGCCTCCCTTTCGTTCAGTCATAGACGAAAAGAGTCTGTCTATTCGTCAGCCGCCGCTTTTCTAAGGTGTAGAATTTGTCATCGGAAGTCATACCTTCTATGGAAATCCATTTTCCATTTCCGATTTTCGTCTTCCGAATGTTAGAACACCATAGACCTGCTCACGTGCCCTACGATTGCCCGGAATGCGCCATGCATTCTACTTCTATCTAGGAAAGCTTCACGCTTTTCTATAATGACAGAGTGGTGAAAAATGTTGCCTTTTGCCTTTTGTATGGTATTAAGTTGGTCCTTAATCGGGAAACAGCTCGATTCCCCAAATCTCTCCTTCCGTTCCTTTCCAGAATCGTTTTCGGGTCCTGCTTTCCCTAAGATGCTTTTTTTTTGAAATTTCTTAACCCATTGACGACCATGCAGTCCAC